GTGCAATGGTGGGTTTATGAGCAGAATTCCAGATGCTGTAAGTTTAGTGAGTTTGGGATGGTTCCTGAGGGCATAAATGAACACATTCATAGTCCTGAGATTCCATGGAACACTAATGAGACCGAGAATACACAATCCTTGGGGTATGACAAACCAAGGCCGCGCCTGATTACGCTGTAAACTAAAAAAGCTCAGCAACCTTGATGGTATAGATTTACCTAAACTCCGTGCAGAATGGTCTTCAGTGTAATCAGTGGCAGTGAATAAACGTGAGGAACAGCTTGTACCTAACAAGGCTTCATCATATAGTGTGTTAATCTTATTGACTGGAGAGGCTGAAATGTGCTCACATGTCTCAGCAAGTTTGTACAGCCAACAATGAGAAAAGGAGAAAAAAAAAGAAATTTGTCATCACATCTAATTTATTTCAGGGTCACTTTTGAGAATTACATTAGGATGGTCTAACTCTAGGTAATTTTGGGGATCTATATGTTGCTGAACCAATACCATATACCGTATAAGATGCACTAGAGGACAAGGAAGAGAACATGCAGCCTTATCTGCCATAGATGATGTTCAGTTGTGTGTGAGGAAAACATATGTACATTGTATGTGTTGACAGTAAACGATAACAAAACAAACAATTAGACATAAAATAAACAAAAACATCATGAATTTTAACAAGACAAAATTTCAGATGTTTCAGTTAAAAGCAGGTTTTAGTGCATCCTAAGACAGATTAATTTCATGCATGCCATACTCATGTATAACATACACACATACAGATATCATAGTCTTGGTTAAAATACTACCTGTCTTTGTACATGAAATACTACTCATTTACATGTTCTACTAGAAACTCTTTCAGAATAGCTAAATACAACTAAAAGTAAAAACACTCTATAATGATCAGCTTTATCAAAGAGGCACTGAATGGGCTCGTAGTCTTGCTCAGTCTTCTTCCATGGGCTGATTTTTCTCCCAAACTTGAACAATTCTGGAGTGATAGTGATCCAGCTGAAAAAAAATAAAGAGAGTAATGATAAGACATACAATACACATATCACATTCTTCAACACATATTCTCTGAATTACTTAATTTTCAACCAGTAATTCGGTCGAAAACTTTGAAATTTGAGAGAACATGAAGATGAACTTTCATGGTAATGCGTTAGATACTCACAGAATTGAGAAGCTCCTTGTATCTTTCTGTCAGGGTGTCCATCACACCCTGGTGGTTTTCATCTTTCTCTGCAAGCTGAAATCATTCAGAACATACTTGTGTCAGGATGTATCATGTATACCACAAGGATAAGTTTTACTAGTACACATACTAGTTAAGTTTTACTAGTACATGTATATAAATGTGTGTGTGTGTGTCTTGGCAATTGTAACTTTTTTCAAACTCTACATTAAATGTACTTTGTTTTAGCTTGGTAATGTTACAGACAAAATGTCACCTATACTACTTTATCTATAACAACTTTGATCTTTTAACAGTTGCAGAAGAGAGAATTTTATCCAAGACCACAGGTGGGTCTCGGTCTATTGTGAATTTGTGGTACTTCAGTTCCATTATCAGATAAAGGTACTTCTGTTTTAGCAGCAGAATTGTATGTCACCACTTGCTAATGCAAACACCTGAAAAATTGGTATACTCTTCCATTTGTGACACCTGCGATGTGATCAGGTGCTTTAAAAGTAAAAGTTAAAGTCTTCCCCGAAACCATTGGCATGGTCACATATGGCGGCATCCATCTCTGTCTTTGTAGCCCTTGGCATACCTACATTTGTATAAAAATTACAAGCCCAACCACTCAGAACAAGACACAGGAGGCAAAACTTGTTGAGGACTGGGCTTGGGTAAAGTTTCCTAACGTGAATGTGTGGCTCCAGTGTCTTTTCTAAGGGTGAAAGTGTCAAGTCTCTAGTTGACTTGAGTTCTGTCCATTTCACTGCCCAGATGTACATGTACACACCTGTTTTTCCAACTGGCCCTTCTGCATCTCAATTTCCATGATGTTCCTCTCCAGTTCCTGCATGCAGGGCTGGTACATCTCCTGTTCCCTGGGGAGTGAATGGAAAATGTTATAGTGATGATACTGTTTATATAAAGAAGGGTGATTAATTACATGGAATAAAGTGCAAATAAGATTTCACAATGAAGGCAATTTTTCATGTTCAAATTTCATTTTCTTTGCACGCTCACATCAGTTTTGGGAATCGCCCAGAGGATGTCATCCATATACAGCACAAATGTAATCAAGTCAGTATAACCTTACTATGGTATGAAAAGAAATAGGATTATGTTTTACAACTTTAACTCTTGGCAGGGCCCACTGCAGAAAAGTCCGTGTACATGCAGAAAGAGGATGATTTACTAATGTGTAGGAAAGTTGTGGAGTCTGATCTCACTTCCTGGTGACTGCAGACGTCTCCCTGGCTGCAGAGAGTTTGTTCTGGTGCTGCAGGCTGAACTTGGCCAGTTTCTCCTGTTTGGAGCCGAGCTGACGCTTCAGCTGGCTCTCCCGCGTCGTCACGTCCCGCAGTACCTCCTTCTGACCCACCACCTGGTCTCGCATCTTCATCAGCGCTCCGTTCGCTTTCCTGTGGGCGGGGCACGGTTAACGTTACACACGTTTTTTCTAGGGTCAGTCGGGAAACAGGAAACACAGGCCTTACAGATACAGTGTTCCCACACAGAATATGCTCCCAAAAATTCAGCCACTATATAGAAATTTTTCATAGGGGCACCCAGTGCTCCCATCAAAACTTGCACTATAGTAAAAAAAGTTAACAGTCATATCATGAATGTACATTTGCTTTCTTGCTCTCTGATTATGATACTTCCACTCTGCATGTTTCTACTTACAAAAAAAGCAGTATTTGTGTGATGTTCTGCAAATTATCAAAATGAATGTAATTTTTTTGCATTGTTGTAACAAGATGTTCCAGAGTTACTTTGTGATAGCTGTTATTGTTTAGTAGGCAGAACGTGTTTCGATTTTGTAGCTTATGGTTAACCTTTAGTTGCTCTACCTTCTGTTACGTCAATAATGCCTATTTGTACTCCATACTGTCTACTGTACGAAGATCATAGTAGCATTGTCAATGAGTGATGACAAAGATTAGAGTAAACTGCTACAGAAAACACCACACTACACTTTGAGTATCACTGACATCTAAAATGCTTTTGAACAGTGACAAATTTTCTCTGCGATCAAAGAAGTATGGCCATCTATTTCTGTGCGAAGAGCAATTTTTCTAGATGAAAGGTAAAGATACATGTACTTTACTCCTACATGTAGTATCTGGAAGGCTCTTCAAAACAGCTCTCCCCATTTCAACAATAAAGAAGGCTATGTTTTTCAGACCAAAGACAGCACATCAAAAGAAGAAAGTGGAGACAATGTTTTGCCAGTCATTTCAGGTCATCCCAAATGGATTGAAACTCTTAGAAATTCGGCCATATCTTTTGAAATGCTGGGTTTCTGTTTGACTATTTTGTAAAAAGACAACAGGAATTGACTTCCAATTTGACCTTCCTGTCAGTCTGTAGTTACACCATTTTCCCCTCACGTCCCGTGACTCTACTGTATTCAAATTCATGTGACTACAGACACACTGAAGCAAACACATGTATGAACACACTGAAAACAAAGCTTCTGTACATGGAGGTAACAATCTTCAAGAAGTGACAGATGACTATAGCTACAAAATGTATGTTATCATTTTTGAAGGCAATACATCTCTGACTTGTCTGACTGATTTATAATATATATATATAATACAGGGCTCGAAATACCCGGTGGCGCACTGGCGCGGCGCCACCTGATTTTGCTTGGCGCCACTTATTCCTAAACTCAGGTGGCGCAGCGCGCCACCTATAATTTGCGGTAGGGATCGAGCCGCTAATCGCATGGATCGGGCCCCATTGTCGGCACAATCTTGTGAATTGTCGATGAATTGTCGATCTCGCCATGACGCCACAAAGAAAACGTTCTCATTGGTAGAAAATCAGACACCTCGCTGGCGTTTCACAACACAATTTTCATGTAAACAACTCCGACTGTCCTTGTTTACATGCAAAGCGCGCCGATACAAAATCCTGCCGGCCGCCCGACCGACCGCATGGTTGCGGCGACGCTAGTTTTCGGCGGCTCGGCGGAAAAATAATCCATCCCCAGAAGAAATGTTACGCATGAAAATAACAACTACAACTTGTTTTCGTCGTTATATGAGTTTCTGAGGCCGTAAAATGTTTAAAACGGTTGAAATTTGTCGGAAAAGACAGAATGAAAATGGCCGACGCTGCTGCTGCTGCTTTCAACACAGTGGTCAAAGGTGAAGATAGCATCCAAGCGTCCAAGATACATGTACTAGTATTACACGCATGAAATTTTTTTTTTCGGCAACGACAGAAATAAAAATTCACTCGTATTTTTAAAAGGTTAATTTGTGAACATTACCGTGAAATTTTCCGAATTTATTGGTTTCTAGTGTCAGAATATAATGTTGTTTCTATGAATGTGCGGTTGGATGCTGTGGGGGCTTTTACAATTGGGAGAACCAGATATTAAGAGCATGCTTTCTTTCTTTCTTACTTTCTTTATTGAGCGTCTCTAAATTTTTTTAGTATGAGTTTATAGACATAATCACATTTTTATTTGTTCAGCTGTGTCAATATGTGATTTTGTTTGGGAAATATGATTGGGTTAAAAAGTTTGGTATATATTAATGTCCGTAACACCTTAGGAATACTTGCTCCAAGTTCCAGGTAATAAGTACATGTACAATTTGTATCATGTATTTTTCACTTGTTGAACTTGTGGAAGCACCGTTGGCCCCCGGTTAGGGGTCATCCGGGGAACCTATGCCCTAATTTTTTTTAATAAATCAAGGGAGCTAATACCATTTTTCATTAGATTTTGAAGATTTGTCCAGGGGGTATGTTTATTCCGGGGGTATGTTTATTTGGCAGATGAGAGTAACATTATCCTTGCGCAAACGAAGAACATGGCGCACGTAACACCACCCGCATAAGTGTGCCGCCATGTAGAGGCGTGGCAATCCCACAGCGACAGCCCTGTGATGAAGACATGTAAAGGTGGCATTCTTTATTAAAACATTGTTGTTTGAGAGCTTTTGTGTTCTTTACATTACTTTATTTTATAACATAAAACTTAAGTAGTTAACT